GCTAAAGGGAGCATAAAACACAGCATGCCCGACACGCTATAGCAGCACTCACTTGCTGGCGTAAGCGCATTCCTCCTCGAGCTGGTGAAGCAACTGCTGGGCGTCGTTCAAACCACCGCGGCTGTTCTGCTTGTCCTTGTCGAACTGCGCCCTCATGAGACGCAGCTACCGCCCAACACGCACGATCACAGGGGATGTGGTTGGCTTCACGACACTTCCAAAGTCAATCGAAGGTAGGCATTTCGGACGCCAACATGCTCAAACGACGTTACCATTATGGTCACGACGCTACGTGTGGGACGCGTTAAAAGCCATTGCCGCCGGGGGGTACACCGTGATACTCCTCGGACTTAATGTACTACCCCGCCCTGCCCTTCTGTCTGTCGCGTCAAGAGCTCAACCCCTCCCTAGCTCACCATCTGTTTTCCTTTGTCTCCCAGCCTCTTTCCCGTTTCTTGCAGGTATTTGTAGATCTCCGCCGTTTTGACGCCTTTCTCGTGCATCTTCTTGATGTTGGCGGATTCTGCTTCGAGATCCTCCCTGGTCATCTCGTTCTCGATAACGCGCGGGGGGTCGTGCCCGGTTCCTCCCGAACCCTGGTACGTGTGCCACAGGCACACGTCCTGCTTCGTTGGGGAACACGGACGGGGGCACGCCGCGAGTGTTTGCGGGCAAGCGCAGGAGGTCACAAGAGGCATAACACTTTGTCACACGGAACGACGCACGCTCCTCTACCTGCCGTCCTACGCGCTGAGGAGGCTTGCCTTGCGACTGGCTCTGGTTCACGCCAAAAAACACAACACAACTTCCACGCGAACGCACTGAATTGCCATGAGTCAAACCCTTTCGCACTAACCCTAACACACCTTTCCAAGCCCCCACTTGCATCCGAACTACTATTGTGGATTGAGGAAACAGCGCCCACAGAAGGAAGCAAGGCATAAGTCACAAAGGCCTCTCTGTGCCGGTGGCGAGGCGTTTTCCGTTCAAATCATTGCGGAAGGACTTGAAGCAACCACTACAGAACGCACCGCACGACGACCCCCGCACGCACCAACTGTCGATACGTGCAAAACAACGCGCGCATCTTGTCGCGATCCTAATAAACACTGTANAACACAACTTCCACGCGAACGTACTGAATTGCCATGAGTCAAACCCTTTCGCACTAACCCTAACACACCTTTCCAAGCCCCCACTTGCATCCGAACTACTATTGTGGATTGAGGAAACAGCGCCCACAGAAGGAAGCAAGGCATAAGTCACAAAGGCCTCTCTGTGCCGGTGGCGAGGCGTTTTCCGTTCAAATCATTGCGGAAGGACTTGAAGCAACCACTACAGAACGCACCGCACGACGACCCCCGCACGCACCAACTGTCGATACGTGCAAAACAACGCGCGCATCTTGTCGCGATCCTAACAAACACTGCAGCGCAGACAAGGCGCAGGAGGTGTGGTCGATGGAGCGCGCGGTTGGAACGAAGCAATGCAAGACAGAGGCGGCAAAACCCGCAGCAAAACACTGGAACTCCCTGGCTATAAGGTCTGCATACGGGTGGATTGGCAGAGAGTACGGCCCACATGCAAAAACAGCACACAAAAACCACCGCCGACCTAGGCTGATTCAGACAACAACCATTCCGCAAAGGGTGGAAAATCGGGTATGATTCCCCGACTTCTTTACGCATACTCCATGTCGTATGCAGCTTGCAACCTTGACTACCTGTCCCAGCATGTACACCAAACGAAGGAAAACAGCACCTTTACCCGCGAACCTCATGTCAATTCAGTCCACCTCGCGCAACCATGAGGAGATGTGCACGAGGTCATGGCTGCGTCGGGCAGAAAATCAGAAAACAAGTACCTTCTTGGTGGATGTCTTCTTGCGAGCGTGGACATCCGCGGTTTTCGCGCTCTCTCGGTTGCCCCGAACGGATACACTTGATCTGCGCGCAGTTGTACCTGTTGCGCCTCCCGGACGTGAACTCGGAAGCCTTCGTGAAAAGCTAGGCGGTGGCAAACACTTTCGGCGGTGAACATTTGTATGTATGTGGAACAACGGGTTCACATATCGCTTGATATTGTATCGTCGAGTGTACCTAGCGGCTTTGTGACTACGGCCTCCCATGGATGTTTTGGAATAGAGACCGAATCGAGAGCTAATGTGGCGAAAAAGCAAACAAATACTTCGTGAACAACATCGCTATCGCTGGGATTTTAGTCGGCCAGCCTAACAAACCGAGCCTATAGCCAGGTGCATCGTGCATCAAGAGTGCCGTTTTCGGTGGAACGCACCTTCCCGCACACCAACGCAGAGCTGCATGCCAGGGAAGGGGAAGGATTCACGACGGGGAAGGGTACACTGTCATCCTTTCGCAAAAAGCTGTTCCATAACTCACCTTCGATTTTGTGTTCATCTGCAGAGCGTATCCGCATCAGACGGTCTCCTCGACCATCTCAAACGCTATCCGCCATGTTTTGTCCCCGTACTCTCCTGACCCGTCTTCGAGGTTGGGAAACACCAGGCTGTTGAGTCTATCGTGAAGCTTCAAGATCTCCTCTGTGCAAACGCCATACATAAATGGGCCGAGGGAAATGAAGTTCGACGTTGTTAGCCGTCCGCCGTCAAACTAGAGACAAACCTGATGCTCACATGACCGAGACGATGCAGCGATGCGTAGGAATGAAATCATGATACGTACGCCATACTTACACACCTGTAGACTGGCGCACACGGCGGGGGCTGCACCAGCTGGAGGCGATACGTTTGCGTCGACATTCGCCAGCTGTAGGTCGTTACGAGCTGAGTTTCCGCTCGGCGTGGTGTTGCGCCAAATTCTATCTTCGCCACCAACGTCCAACAAGGTTTCCTCCTCCTCCGCGCCAACGTCATGTGTCCCGCTGGAGGTCTCCGTGGAAAGCACCTCCTGCAGCGACCCGCCGGATNACGATGCAGCGATGCGTAGGAATGAAATCATGATACGTACGCCATACTTACACACCTGTAGACTGGCGCACACGGCGGGGGCTGCACCAGCTGGAGGCGATACGTTTGCGTCGACATTCGCCAGCTGTAGGTCGTTACGAGCTGAGTTTCCGCTCGGCGTGGTGTTGCGCCAAATTCTATCTTCGCCACCAACGTCCAACAAGGTTTCCTCCTCCTCCGCGCCAACGTCATGTGTCCCGCTGGAGGTCTCCGTGGAAAGCACCTCCTGCAGCGACGCGCCGAGGTCTCCAGCGAATCCAGCAACGTCGTCAATACTAACGCCGTCAAAACTTCCGTCGTGAAGAGCACTGGCAGACGCAGCAGAAGTCTCCGCACCAGAAGCAGCCGCCTCCATGCTACTTGAGTCCTAGACAGGTTCTTGTCAGCCGTCAGAGCCGTCGCCGGTGCGTGCGGTGGGCGTGGGTGTTGTGTGCGGTGGTGTGTTGTGCGGGTCGTGGGGAATTCAAAATGGGTTCTATAGGGATGGTTCTGGAGGCGTTTTTAACTTGTGCACGGAAACGCGCACAAGTACTGGGGTATTAACGCGCCGTGCCCAGGGGATGAGTGAGAGCAATGGTATATGACCTATTATGGTATATGACCTATTATAGGTCGTATACCATTGAGTGAGAGTTGTACTTGGTATTTGGGTTCTGTTGATGACCCAATTACCCAATCAAATGCAGAGCAGTCGACTCTTCATTACCAAGGTTCTGCGCGAGGTTCGAGGTTCTTGTCTCTTATGGATGCTTGATTGTCTTCGCGGATGTCGTCTAGGAAGGGATTTGACAGATAGCTGTTGAGGAAACTTGTTGTTGATTCGTCTCTCGGCGGCTGCTGCACTCGATACAGCTGCATACCAACACTGCCGTTGCTGTTCAACCTATCCACGCACACACATTAGGAGAAACGAATATACACACAGAAAGACTACCCGTTCGAGGTATAACTACACTCGAAGGGGATGTGTTGAAGTCTTTACAGTGAGTAGACTAGAGGAAAACCAGCTGGGTACTTGTTCGAGTTTGTTTAAGCCTATACACTGATGATTTATATCAGTGATACCAGTTGGTGCTTAGCACAAAAACATCTGCGTAGGTACATTTACATGTGGCCTGCACAGGGAACACGGCGCAATATGTCATGTTGACAGTAGTTGCTGGTTTAGTTTAGAAAAATACATATATNCCTTGGGGTCCATTTTATTTTGGTATACCTTTTCTAGGTACGTTAGCCTGTGACCACGGAAATTGGCCGAGTCAAGTGATGAATTAGTACGGAGAGATTGAGACAGAAGGAGGTAGTGGATAGAGAGACCGGGATGGGTTTTAATGTGAAGACAACAACAACAACACTGATAAAGGCTACTGCTGTACATATTCGGAATCACAAATATACACACAGACAGACTACCCGTTCGATGCCGTATATATATTTTTTGAATTTCTGAACAGGTCCGTCAGGTGGTTGTTGATTTCACGCTCAAATTGATTTTCAACTCTACCCATGGTGTTGTTTGATATGCGTGTTTNGGATAGAGAGACCGGGATGGGTTTTAATGTGAAGACAACAACAACAACACTGATAAAGGCTACTGCTGTACATATTCGGAATCACAAATATACACACAGACAGACTACCCGTTCGATGCCGTATATATATTTTTTGAATTTCTGAACAGGTCCGTCAGGTGGTTGTTGATTTCACGCTCAAATTGATTTTCAACTCTACCCATGGTGTTGTTTGATATGCGTGTTTGACGAGTAATAATGAGACTCATCAAATGAGATTGTGACGCAAAGTATGCATTATGGGGGGAGAGTGATTGCAGTGCTCTTGCGTGTGTATGGGCAGTAAACTTGGTTGTGTAGGAGAGAGGAAACGGAGGTAAGTCTATTGCTGTGTCGTACATTATGAGGAAAAACAAACATACATACACAATCGTACATGTTTGCAAACAGAATTTGAATCTCAGAACATGTCGACTGTTTGTTGCTTTCCCGCTCTTTTCTTCGATATTTTAAAAAAACCATCACGTGATGTTTGCTACCTTGCGTGTCGAGTAATGACGGGATGTATCAGAGGAGGTTGTGATATATGTACTACATGGGAGGGGAGAGATTGCAGTGCTTTTGCAAGCGAATGGAGGGTAATCAGTCTTGGTGGAGTAGGAGCGAGGCAATAAAAGAAAGGTGGTGGCGAACATTTTGAAT